AGCTTTTCAAAGCGAGGACTCGCTTGACTCCCATTTATTTTCATTAACTTTGACTTTAATAGACCTAACTAGCAATTTTAGTTCGCGTATCGAGGTCGCAAAATCAACGTGCTATCTATTTTACAATCACTGCCTTGGCTTTTCTCAAAGCCAACCGTGACCCTAACTCAGTCGAATTTTCGAGTTGAAGATGTGCTCAGACCGAGCAACCGATTCGTGCTACATCGTTGAGCTAAGGTAATATGAATGGTTTAGGTCTTTGAAGGTCCTTAAGATGACATTTTCCAAAGGCAATGCTCACCTGCTGTTTTAGAGAAATAAAAGTGCTTCCCTTCGCTTTTTTACAGGTCCAGTATTTTCTCCTTCCGGAGCGCAATGTTATGTTTAATACGACGGATGGCACGTCTTCCCTCTACGACGGACAGCGTAGTTTGCTGAAAATTCTACATTTTCTGATGAATACGGATTAACAACTGTAGCCAATAATCGACTGCTATGTCACAGATTTAGGGCAGGATTCTGTTTGCACGCTCAGCCAAGTAATCAAGAATCAAGCTTAATTAAAAGCATTTTGAGTGACAGATTGGTATGTGACAAGAGGAAAACATTCACAGCTTCTATATTTTACTAAGTGCTAGTTTTGAGGACTAATATCGTTAAAAGCAGTAGATCTCTGTAATGAATAAGAAATAACTGAAAATGCGTGAATAAATGAATAACTGTTCGTTATCCTCTTACGGAGGGGAGCGTAAAAAAAACAAAAAAAAAAGAAAAGAAATGAAATGTTTGAAACATCAAGGTGAGTTCCATCTTACCAGAGCTGCACTTGGGAAAGCTTCAGCAATCTTCTTAGCCACCCAGTGATTAGCAAATATCATACACTCGGCTACAGTTTCATGAATTTCCAAGGGCTAAGAATATATATTTTTACAATTAAAAATTTTTTGTCAAAATTTAAGGTTTGAGTCTGTTGGGCTGCATACCTACCACACATTACCCTGCGAGCAGACATCCCTTCGTTCTGAGAAGATCGCCGGGACCTCTGCTCGCAGTATAGCCACACATGTATTACGCTGATACATACACAACAAGCATCTAAGCAAGATGATTGTTTTCTTCTTAACCTGTTTACCACTAAGTGTGATTAGCATCTTATTTCTCACCACGATAACAGCCCTGAATCATACACAAAGATCACGAGAATAAAGGAAATGATCACCAACTAAACAAGCTTATGATTGTAAGCTTGTTAGTACCATAGGAAATGTATAGAGGACAGCAGTATAAGTAGTCAGACAAAATTGGAAATGGAGTTCAAGTAATCCCAGAATGGAATAAGGGTCCTCGTTATTTTACCAGTTGCAGTAGAAAAGAAGCCAAAAAAGAAAAAAAAAAAAAAACAAAAACGGAACGTCACAAAGAACACTGCAAATCGCACTACAGTAAATAAATTTTGTATTTCACCTTTTTAGGAATTAAATTTTTAATGTCCTTCTTATCACCCAGCTGGACTTGAACCTCGACACCCTCCAGCTCCAAGGCTCCTGTGAAAAAGAATACCTTGATATGTGATGCACCGCTCTTACACGCTAACATTCGGTGACAACTACATGTAAACGAATGCAGCTGATAGTACCGTTTAGGGACAAATTGGTTTTTTGACGACAGTATTGATCACGTTAGTGTTAATATATTCTTAAGCGTTTGTACTGGTAAAATAAATTTTTTGATGTTTTAGATACGTATCGAGTCAACATTTGACGACAAGAAAAGGAAAAAAGGCATTATGCCAGATCATTTAAGGCCAAAAATTCATCTAGGGTTAGTTTTTCGTTCTAAAAAAAAAAAACCAGAAATTTATCGTCATCACACAACCTAGACGTTTCCCAAATGTCCTTAACAATTCATTTTATACTCAAGTCCCATACTCCAGTGTGGCACCATAGATATAAGACGGCAATGAGCCCTATTAAAAAACTTAATGGCCAGATCAGTTAAACAAAGTTTAGCCGTTGTTCAGCAAAACCGCGTGCTACACTATCCTCAATTTAGCTGAATCTTTTATCTGAACATTTATTTTTGTGGACAATGTCAAGAGAACCGAAAACTAACAGCGGAAGGACAATTATTTAATCAAATCATCCCTCTTATAGAGAGAGCTTGAAGCCCACTGATTGCGTATAACTGTGATTTGGGATAGACTTCGTGTAAATAACCGGCCCAGTGGGTTAATGGTGACGACTGGGTTTTAAGTTTGAATCTGATTGGTCGAGAAAGTGAACCAATCAGAGTGGGTAGTGTAGCAAAACCAAAGCAATACCGGATTACTTTCGACACTCAATTCAATATTAATCTATTTCAATCGAAATTTTCTTCCTGCGCATCATTGACTATACTGCTAGGCAGCAGCAATGTATAACCTGGTGCGAAACAGAAAAAAAATTACCGTGAATGGTTCTTCTTGTCTTTATCACTCTTGCAATATCCATAAGTTTCGTCACCGTTTTTCGAATTTCTGATAACCTATCGGGAAAAAACAAAATCAATATATATGTAATCTTTTATATATACGTAATCTATGCGACAGAGAGTTGTCCTAAAATCAAACACGAATTAATTTCTTTAGGTAATATGGAAATATGCGTCACTGAACGGTAAGAACCATTATTGTTATTAAAACCCAACCGTGACAATTGCAAGCCTGATCAACACTCAAGCGACTCGTTTTCTTCTTTTCACATCAGAAGTCGGTTTAGTGATTCTTCTTTCCCTCTGACGAAAGGAAAACGCTCGATACATCAGCTTTAAAACTCTTTACGGCGGCCAATTTACATTATCAACCAAAATACCTTGTTACTCCCTCCGACGCAGCACTACAGTTTCCCTACAAACTTACCCCATTATTCAGTAGTGATTCTTAGTTTGGTTTCATCTTCGTCTTACGTTTTGCAATACCCACAGGATATATACGTTTGCACACTGAGAAGAAGAAAAAATCTGTAAGAAATGAAATGTAAAAGGACCTTTTAGATGCTTCTTTTCGATCGACTTCTTGTAATTCTGGAATGTCTTCAATGAGGTCTTCGTCGCCCGTCTCTCCATCAGCAATGGCTTGCGCTGCCTATAAAAGCAAAAGCACAATCTCCTTTAGGGCTTTTATCAATTCTTCAGTTCAGGAATGTTATTACAAAATCAAAAGAAAGTGTGTCCAAGCTTTATCGACAATAAATTACCAAAACAAGAACTACCGTGCGATGAGATATAAGTTACCTCGTAAAACAGCTTGTAGGAAGATCGTATGACCGTTCGACCAAACCATGTCTTCACAACATTGTATTCCGAGTCTAAAACCCACAGAACACTAACAGCATACCTGTAAAAACACGTGAACGAACAAAAACATGGTTGCCACTGATTTTTAAAATTTTCTAACTTAATGACTCAAGGAAGATGGTAAAGGCGACTGAAGAGCACTGAGAAGCACCTTCTGAAAAAGTAACTTTTCCTGGAGATCATGACAGTGTTCAGCATATAAGTGATCATAATGAAAAAAAAACCTTGACATTTAGAAATGCAATCTTGATATAACACCACATTTTTGTAACTAATTGTAAGCAAAGTGTCAAGCGATTAGAATAAAGAGTTACCAATTGGGATGTAAGGAGTTAAATGTTGGGTTACTAGGTAAAAGAAGGAGACCAACTGAAAATCCTAAAGCGCAGCATGTGCTGCAGCAGCTGTCACGAATGGACAGAGGTACCCTGTGGACTCTACCACACTATCAGAGACGGTCAATTAATTTCCTATCTGGGGGAACCGAAACGATGCAACTTTACCTATCAACACCTCCAATTAGTGAACACAGATCCGCACTAAGCACTTCTGGTAGCATGTCAAACCTTCGATCAGCCAGGTACACCGTGGTGGATCTTTTTCACAAAGAGACGAAACGTCAGATGACAAATCGTAAGCTCAAGAGCGTGCTAAGCAAACACTGATGATGATGTTACTGTACTCGAAAGACAACACTCACAACTGCATAAACGGATTTCTTTCTTTGTCCTTGCTGCGTTACATCGAGATTTAAGGAAGCTTTATCAATTATCCGAAAAGTAATGAAACCAATATTGCCGGATGGAAATGACGGAGTGACACCGAAAAAACAGGGTACATTTTCCATGTTTTCTCCGACCCACCTCTAACTACAGACCGTATGAAACTAAATTTACATGTTGATGGGCCTTATATGTTGAATGGTGTATTTGCTGGCCCTTTGGAGAGCACGTCGGACTGAAGTATCCAGGTTTGAACTACAGTTTTGGTCATGACACTGGGCTCTTAGGCACTGAAACATTTAAATCTAACAGTGCCTCTTCTCCTCTAAATATCAGTGCAATTTTCAATCGAGTGTCGAAACTTACCCCGCATTACTTTGGTTTTACTTTACATCACCCTGTAATTGGTTCAGAAAACTAGCGCCCCTTTCTCCCCTGTAAGATTCAAAACTGAAGATAATCACGACTGGTCACATGCATTTCGTGCGCCCGGTGCAATTTGCTTGTTGTTAATTTAAATTCTCGGTGGTTTGTTGTGATATTTTTTTTTTCAATGAGCCGCAGCAGCTGCATGAATACGAGTCGTTTCTGTGCCAAGAATTTTCTTACGCTGTGAATGATGTGGACTTCACGTACCTGGCTTTAGCCTCGGCGTCCGTCAAAGACCCTGGTCTGACAAAGTGAGACACATCTGCAATATGAACACCAAGCTCGATCTGCCCACGTTTCATTGTTCTGTTAGCGAAAAATTACAAAGGTAGAAAGATTTTTACTGTACAGCAATAAATTATAGAAATCAAAAGGGTAAACAGTATTAATCAACTTCGTATTACTAACACTTTATAATAAGTTGTGCACAGAACATTACCTGACAGACAGAGTATCATCAACATCTTCGCATCCTTTTGGATCAATGCTGAAGATCAGATGTGATTTCCTAATAAAAGAAATAGAACAGTGAAACATTGGCGAATTAAAATTTTAATATTGGAGTTTGTTTTACGACTCAGAAATTCCCCACACTACTGATACTGAAAAAGTTAACAAATTGACAATGGCTTGGCATGGTTTGTACTCTTATCGACAACGATATTCGTCCTGACAGTGGTCAAAATGTTGTGGGCGCAACCAAGTGCATACGCAAGAAACTTCCCCCTTCACCCTCTTAAACGAAATTTGGTCGTAACTATACAACTCATAGACAGTCGTTTTTCACAGTTGTAATATCCCGAAAAAGGAACATCAGATCGTACAATAAGATTCCCACTGTTTCTTAAAATACAAAAAACAAAATAAAAACAAAACACATCTTACATGGAAAACTTTAAGAGAGGAAGGAAGGTTACTGCTCAGTTAAAACAGGCGGAACAAAGAAAGCGCTTTTATTCTGTAAATTCGTTACTAAGATTGTACTGAGGAGAACAGAACTAAGTGAATGTTAGAGACAATTATTGACTGTGCATACACTGTATTGTTTGATCCTTTTAGTGGTACTCACCGTAAATCCCGCCGTTTTGCTATTTCCATCTCAGACATAACCCAGGGGCTCTCGGGTGTGTTGGTCGGAAGCTCCTTCAGTTGTGCTTCAGTGAATGAGGGCGCTGCTAAGGTGTGTTCTACCATCAAGGCTTGAATCTCGGTCTCTAGGTCACCAATAGGGCCTAAAGAACGAACGAAATGTCCACTCGGGTACATAGAGTCCACCTCCCAAAAATCGATCCGTACGACGATTCTGATTAGAGAAAAGAAATACTCTGAACTCGAGGGGGGGTAAGAGAATCGAACACATGTGCATCGCCCGTGTAAGGGACGATTAGGTAGTCCTGAAAAGAACTCAGTCCTGTTGGCGACAGTAACTAACGTTTCGACCGACAACCTCAGTAAAAGTTACCATAAGAGGTAAAGGCCAATTAAACAAAGCAGATATCATGCTGAGGGACTTACGTGAATGAATTTCCTAAATACCGAATTTCTTCATCTGTGCCAATGGGTAACGCTCATGCGCTGTAATGTTTTTGCACATTCAGCTAATATCACGGGTCTTACATAGCAGGACCATGAATCGGCGATTTTTGACGAGCGAAAATGCTTCCACTAGATGTGACTTAAATTGTACGAAATCCAGACAGAACAGAACCACAAATATGGACAAAAATAGACCGCAATGTCTCGACTGAATGTCGTGAAACCAAAACGAAAGTTGTCATGAAAGCTCAAAGAGAAAAATAACATGCTATTTTTTTGCATTAAGACGCGCACACGACAAAAGGTGGGTGTGCTTTCCTTTGCGCATGTGTCAGCTTCCTATCGCACGCGTTTCGCGCGTGCTTGTGGAACGCCTGTTTGCAGCTCTGAGAACAGACAAATCATCACAAAGAGCACATGAACACTAAAGAACGCGAGTTTATACCATTAACAGACCTCACAAGAGCGAGCACATTTTTATCCCCACCCTTCATAGACGAAAAATAATCGTTGGTTTGGAGGACTGTCAGTCGAGAAAATGTCTGGTATGAACAAACCTGTGATCTCGTAAGCTGTCAACTTGACGCGTACTTATCCGTATTTTAGGTATACGGTAATCCCACGGCACTACAACGACCTAAGTCAGCATAAAAAATTAATATTACTCTGGGTAGTGGTTCACTCTGGTATCACATCTAAATAACAAAAATATCGAGTCAAGCCTTAGCGAGTCTAAAGAGGGGGAAGGGCAAGGAGAAGGGAGTAAGCTTGACTCACTGAGTAACCTGTGCTGCACCCTTAAAAAGGCTACACTTTAGAAAGTCTATAATCAGATTGGATCCGCTTACACGTGGACAGGCAGTCAAAATGAATGAATTATGCACCAAGTTCGTCGAATTTCTTGTTCTCAAAGCGTCATACCCGCCTCTCCACTGCGAGATATACTTCCATTATCACTGTGGAAGGGAAGGTCCTTGACACTGCGAGCATATCTACGTACCCGTGTGTTCACTTCAATCTGTTCAAAATTCCGAAAATCATCTAATTTTGACGTACGAACCCCATTCCCCGTTCAATGTTGAAGACATATTCGAATGCAAACACAAAATTGTTCATTTAAAATAACACGGGCATGGGAAAGGGTAAATATCACGAATAGAAAACTTTTTTTACCCTTGTATCCCTGGTTGTACGGAAGGGTTTGTCGTTACCACTTCATATTCACATATCCGCCTAACAACTTGTGCGTCTCCTTAACATAAATGTATCAGTATAATTTCAGAGCTGAGCAAAGAGTTTCCAGCAATCTGACTGGTCGAGCGGTTCCTTATATGACGCTGTATAAACCGCTCCACGCGGTTTATATAAAATGTTCAAATAAAATGTTAATAAATGTTACTACAATGTTATGATTTTTTGAAATTTCTCTGTTGTTCAGCTCTGAAATCATAATAAAACGATTATTCGCCTCAGGTTCGGTGAATATTGTCGAAAAATCCCCTCGACTTCGTCTCGGGGATTATTCGACGATATTCACCTCGCCTTCGGCGAATAATTGTTAATTATAAGAGATGGGGTGGCTTTCAAACGAGGCATCCGCGCGTCCACACGTCTCGGGGAAGCAACGTCATACGACAGGGTATTCGGCAGTTATTCTCTGCTGGGAGTTTACGCTCCCAGCAAAAATCATTTACCTTTCCAGCTTGTTTCCTTACACCCTGAGTTTCCTGAAAATTTACAAACAAGACGCAATCTCAACAAAAAAAAAGTTTCTTCCTTGTTGGACCTGCCTGCCTTGTAATTCTGTGAGTGCAGTTCCCGATTTTTTGTTAACTCTTGGGAGAAGGAAATTGGTTTGAATAATGCAGGGTTCGAAATATCAAAGTAAGAGTTACATGTGCAGTGTTTGATGTGAGAAGGAAGGCAGTTTTACTGTTTTGTGGCAGTAAAACCGAGGTTCCAATTAATCAGGATTCTACTGCAATTGTAGTGCAACGGTCACTTTTCTTGGAGAGCTGTGTGATCAAGATCCGTACAACCTACACCAAGGTAAACACTGCGGCCAATTAGAACAAAGGTCAAAACCACAATGAGGAAATAAGAGCCTAAAGTAACTGTGACCCTCCACAGGAAACGCCCCCTGACGGGTGGGTCTTGGTGAAAGGGGTTAAATTTACGGTTGAATAAAGGATGACAGTTTGTAAAGAAAACGTTTCCTTTCATTCACAACTCTGATAAAATATCGGGACCTAAACGATCCATTAAGATCACCGATCACTTCACGTGCACCTCCGCCAATGTAATCTATAGCATAACTTGCACTTATTGCAAAAAAAATTTACATCGGCGAAACAGGCAGAAGACTAGGTGACCGATTCCGAGAACACCTTCGAGACGTGGAAAGGAATGACAAGGACACATCGAAACCAGTCGCGAGACATTTTAATTTACCTAATCATTCTAAGCAACATATGGCAATCTGCGGTCTTTCCTTACACTTAGGTAGCACGGAAAGCCGTAAAACTCTTGAACAAAAGCTCATCTTTCAAACCGGCAGTCTAAATCCCACAGGGATCAACGAACGCTTTTTATTCCACTAATTTATTCGTGTTTTTCTCGTTGCCATGTTCCCACCAATAACGTAGCTCCATTTTCTGCCTTTAAAAGCACACACAACCCCATAATTCCTCTATTCGCTCCGACGAAGGGCTAACGCTCGAAACGTCAGCTTTTGTAATCGTTACGGTGGCCAATTTACCATTTCAACGTTGTCAATATATCCAAATTATAAATTTACGGTTGGCAGCTGAACATGCTGGTTCATGAAGAAAGATTTACAGTACCTCATTTTCTGCAAAACTTGCAACATAATCTCTCCAATTCCTTTGCACCACTCCCACCACACGACCAGTTGGCATGACATCGCTTTGGTCGTCTCTAGACTCATCTGCACCTAAAGAGAAACCCTCCCTTGTTTCGTTTACGTGTGTAGTTTGTATACATGTGTTCGCAAAATTTGAATAATGCATCAGGAGTTTCACAGCACTGAATGTTTCGAATGTGTAAGCACTGGACTGTTGAGGGGTTTCTCCCGGTCATGTTTCACTAACTGTGATGGGTATCTATTGTCCCCACTACGTGAGAGCCAATGGCAGTATTACTTGAATTTACCGGAATGAAAGTTATCTCTATCTGCAATGTTCAGGTACATGTTTGCGTAGAATGGCTGTCATAAGCCACTGGACATTGCAGGATACAAGATGGCATCTTAAGCTTCAAATGCATTCCTACATTTCAAGTATTAGTAAAGATTTTTCACACCTTCATCTTTGCTTCTGATAGCCAAAGATCTGCCCTTCCACTGAGATTTTGAAAATAATTCCACCACTACAATATCACCATGTACTGCCCGATTTCTGAAAACATAAAAAAATAATGTTACATTGAACTTCAATTTGGGTGGCTATACAAGACTGTCCACGTGCAGAACTGTAACGCAAATAGTTTACACGCTAAACGTGAGTAACCACAAAACCAAATACTACAACTGACAGTAGAAGCTACACTTTGAATTTACATTTTGTGGTTCATACAAACCCACTGGGTTGCACCAACAGGTGTGTTAATTTAATACATCAGGTATGTGATAATTGTAAATTTTCCTAAATTTAAACTTTAACGGTGCAATGAGAACATTTTGTAATCAAGCCCAAATGGCACAAAGATCAATCGATAAAGGAACCTTATAGAAGTAATAAATGAAGTTCAGGGAAGTTCTACAGAATTTGGTCTTCAAGGGTCTCAAAAATGAGTCACCATAATGAAAATTGGTCAATTTTTCTGTGAATTCCAGTTTGGTAATGTTGTTTAGTTTAAGGAGGCACCATTGCTTACCTATTCACCACACCAGTGATAAGTACATCAGAGTCTAATGAGTCCTTGCTATTTGAAATGCCGTTGCTGAGGACCAAGAAAAACAACTCTTAAAATATAACCAAACTGATTTATTTGTTAAATAAGCTAGGTTTATTTTATTTTTTTTAGGTTTTATCTTTTATGTGATTAGGTTGATTCCAAGCTTTAAGGGGTCTCAACATATAGCCAAATAATTACGGCATATGCATGTGCAACTGTTCAAGGAGAAGTTAACATAAACTTCATTTTTATTCGCTGTAAGGGAGTGTTGAGAGGACCTCAGTCTTTTGGTATTCAAGTTTGTAATAACAGTGCAATATAAAACCTAAATAGGTTACTAAAAAAAGCTGCATTGTCCGGCCGGGGCTCGAACCCTCGACCTCCCGCACACCAGTCCAGCGCTCTATCCATTGTGCTAACCGGGAGGCGGTTAAGTGGGTAGTTACTGTTTAGGAACATAACTTTTTAAAAATAATCATAGAAATACAATGGGAAAGATGTACCATACCCTGACTTTTGAACAAATGCCTCATCTTGCGCGCAATGTTTGTTGACATTGAGACATCCTTGCAAGTAACGACCCTTTGTAAAAAATAAAGACATTCTAATTGTTCAAAGCCATGTTCTTGGGTGTCAAATGTACATGACATTGTGCATATCATGAGCCTAACCTTGGGGTAATCAAAGTGGCAATGGCAATTAAGCTGTAATTTGGCAGCAAATAATTATGGTGTGAATAATACAGCTTGTTAAATTTCCAGCATTTGTGATTGAATGCTCAGTCTGGTAGATTCTAAAAGTTAATCAGGATAATAATAATTTATTTATCATAGAAATGATATCTCTTTCTGTCTTACAGCTTTAATTCCAGCTTCAAGAACTTCGGCTGGTAAGTATTCTTCATATTCTTTAGTGGATGCCTCACTCACTAGAATAAGTACGAACTCAAGTTAAAAAGAAATTTTTTAAAAATTACTATTAAAAACAAAAAATAAGCTGCAAACAAATCATTAAAGTTTCTGTCAAAAGCGTATCATATTGTTTTTTTCAACAGAGATCCTTGACAAGGGAAATTTAGTTGCCATATCAATAACCAAACTGCAAAAGCCATTTCATTATAGGAGTTGTGGGTATAAAATGTCTTCACTCCTGAGATTTTGTGACAAACCACCATCCTTCCCATTTGTTAGTCATTCTCTTTATCATTCTCCTAGTACTTTAATTTGCTCACTCCAACTTCCCTTGACCTTATCAATCTAAAACCAATACTGAGGTGCAATATTCCAGATTATTATCCAACTACACCTAGACGAGTACAAATAACGCCATAGACGAGTACAAATATCATGCGGTATTTGTACTCGTCTATTATAGTACCGGTTGAACAGGTTTTCTTGCATCGCACAAGCGAAGAATTGGATTGAAGTTACGAAAAAAAAAAACAAATGGCGGACAATTTGAATCATATTTCCGACGATGAAGAGTCAGAATGGCTGGCAAATATAGATCCAAGTTCATTAGATGAATCGAACAAAGAAAAACAGCTTGACAACCAGAAAATTTCTTCATTTAATGAAGAAAATAGAAACAGCAACACAACGCGCCAATTCCGTTCCGCTTCGCATACTTCTGTCACGCACTCCCCATAAATAAATATCCGCGAAATTCGCCCGCACTGAAATAACAGTTTGGCGTGTTGGATAATAAATAACTTATTAGACGTTTTGTTGTGTAGTATCACTGAGTATTTTTACTCGTTTTACTCGGCACAACTCATAAAAATAGTCAGCGATACTACACAACAAAACGTCTAATAAGATATATATATCATAATTATAAGATTATCAATCATGGCTATCATTTTTGGTATATCAATAACTGTCTCATACATTTCTTGCAGTTTTTTGTGAAATCATCAAGATATATCATTTTGATAGGAGTCTATGATATTTTGATTTTTCCACTGATAAACTAAACATGATATATTGTGACAAGATACCAATTGATATTCTGATATCACCATGATGAGGTATATCAAAGATAATTATATCAAAAGTTATTTGATAATATCACAATAAATTAGTATCAAAATCTCAAAATCTTACAGTTTATTCATTTGATATTTTGATACTCTGCAATCCTGCACCTTAGTGCCAGTATCGCAGCTTCAAAATTCCATTGGAATATTGAGCACTCCCTCCTCTGAAATCATGCCAGTTGTGCAAGCTACTCCCAAAAGTAAGGAAAGGGTGCTTCAAGCTGATTAACATCATTTTTATCAAATTATTTAAGGTACACTCAGTCTTACCTGATTCATTTGCATCATTATTTACAGCTGCCAGTGAATAGTACAACTCCAGAATTGATTGACAAGTGGAATAGAAATTAGTGAGGTAGTCCTCCGTTCCCATGACAAATACTCCCACAGACTTATTTCCATAATTTTCCACAATCTGCCAACATACATTTAGGAAAAATTACCACAATACCTTTGCCCTAAAACATACATTGTACACACTTAAAAACTAACTGCATTTCGAAGTAGAAATCTAGATTATAAATTTAATCTGTTGGCTGAAAAAGAGCGACTAGCATTGACAGTGTGTAGTTTCTCCATACAATTTATCACTCTTGGATCAAACATTAAGGTACCAGGATAAATGAAATGATCACCAACAAAGAATCTCTTGATTTTAAACCAAATTCTCCTTGTCAGCACCTTGGGAAATGTATAGAGAACAGTATAGAGAATGTGCGAACTGATGTTAGGATAAAGGATTCATCATAACAATCACCAAGGGGGAATACCCTATCACAATACATAGTTGTTATATTTTTCTTTCAAATCATTGACCATGTTTCAAAAAATAATTTATAAAAAGATGCAAATTTTAGAAATGACTAAAGCTAAGTACAGTATCTAAAAAAGATGCAACTCCTAAAATGACTTATAATTATTATGAACTGAGGATTTTAAATCAATATATACACACTCATATACAACTTAAAAGTTGGTGTTCTACCACATCAAGCACAAGGGAGAGAGGAGCTGTATAATTATATTACAACATAGTTACAAACTATGATTACATGTACCTGCTGATCTTCTGTTAAGATGACAATGGGCATGGCTTGATTTAAATGGTTCTGATACCAAACAGCACCAGTGTAAATACACCTCAAAAGAAAAAGACACCTCTTTTGAGTATAGAGATTAAAAAAGAGAGAGTGAGTTAATTAAGTCAAGGCTCACTAGAAAACTTTGCAAACCAAATGAATGGAAAAAAGGTAAAAAAAAAAAAAAAATAATAATAATAATAATAATGTGACATGGTTTGAATTGTTTTGTAACAGTTAGACATTTCTTCTCTTGTATAAGTTCCAACTGCAAAAAATATTGTCATGCCTTGAGAGCTTAATGAAATCAGCAGTCAAAACAGACAAGTTTTTTTTTGTTTAGCAATATTTCTCATCTTTGGTGAAAAAAAAAAAAATTATTTAATGGTCACATATTTGAAATCAGTCTGTCCTAAACACATGTTCACCTCCACTGCCATTCTTCCAAAGGCTCTCCTGGTTCCCTGGGAACATAGGCTCCATCACAGAACTCATTACTGAAAATGATGCTCTGCTGCCTGTTATCATTCACAATATTTTTTAGCTGAGAGTGAAGTTTTCTCCCTCCTTGGTGTTGGACCTATGATTCAAATAATATCAGAAGTGCTACATGTGCAAGTAAATTGATTGACTTATATCGTAAAGGAATATGTACTCATAAGTTAAAGTGAATGTGTTCTCTGCTTTGTTAACTCAGTGTCCTAAAGTTGGCAAACTAGCTAGAAGTGAAACTTGCACATCAATACTAGGCAATAAAATAGGTCATCAAGAAAGTATATCACACTATTTTTAAATATGGATGTGCTATACACTCTGTAATGATATGACAGATTCAAAATTAGTGAGATATTTAACAGAAAACAAGAATGATTGCTTGATGGTTTGTGTGATGTTTTTTTTTATACCTTTAAGCATTGATTCTGAAAATTGTCATTATCTGCTATCAGAAAATAGCCATTTACATTCTGCAAAATACATGAAAAGGTGTTCTGTGCTTACATAATTAACCACTGTTTCAAAGAAAATTACTCCTTGAATTTCTGGGCTCTCAAATATTTCAAGAAACAGCCTTGAAACCTGAAATAAACACCAAAGAATCAATATAAGGAAATTTACTATATCATTTCACTGTAAAGTTCTTGTCCTAACATAACAATTTCATCAGTTTTTTTATTATTTTTTTTTTGTTAGTCCAAATATGAATGCTTTTACTGTCCAATCATCACAACAGGGTGTGTAATTCAACTGTAAGTACATCCTCATAGACTACAATCCTTGGGGATCCAGGAATATCAAGCTCACCTAACATCAAACCCTACCAAATGTCCTGAGTGCAAAGCAGAGGAACCTGCCAAAGCTCCCACTCTGTGAGATAACAATGAATTATTACACGACTCGGGCAGTCAGAGGGCCAATAACTAAAATCAAACAATCAAAATGCTCTATTGCCAGTCAATATTCTCTCAGTATTGGACTGGGCACTATCCCGAATGGTCCCGAATGATACCGCACTTGTGTCCCTTTGAACTTCAGTCCTATAATAAATCTCTTATTAACCAAGCTTGCTCGGGACCGTACTGGAAGAATATCGGCCCTCGGTCTTTTTTGTACAGACCGAGCGCAGCGAGGTCCGTACTGTCAAGACCTCGGGCCGATATTCTCCCAGTACGGCCCTCACGTTTGGTTAATAAGATATATTTATCAACTCTTCTGAATTAACTAATAAGAATAAATTGCTTAAATAAGAAAGCTCCTCGACTTTTGCTACATTTATCTCAAGTTCTTTTATAACTTCCTGCTCAACTTTTTTCAAAGTTGCCATTTGCATGGTCCCCTTGAATTACAAGATGGCTCTCAGAAACGAAATTTTAATCACCACAAAAAAAAAAAAAATTGGTTTGGGAGGTTCATGTAACATCTCAAGCTATGATAGTTGGACCACAACAGGTAATTTTTAAGACGTTTACAAGGTGTAACTCCATACTACAGTCAACTCAGGGCTGTGGTCTAGCAGTGCCTGGTGGCCCCTGGTACCCACCTTTTTCTCTTGGGCTACTTGGGAATTTTAGTTTCTTCATATAAAAGCATATGCTAGGTACCCTGTATTTCAAAATTTTAGAGCAGTGGGCTCCCTTCACTTTTCCTTAGAGCACAGCCTTGCTAATGGCAAAATCCTTGGTCCCAAATGTAATCTATTGCTTTTGCCATTGTTTTCCATATGCAAAGTCAAGTATGATGTTCTACGAAAATATTTCTGACAGGTTTACTCTGCACAATTTTAAGTCTAAGCGCAGTTGTTCATTGGCTGATTAGCACTAACCCAGGGTCAAATTTTTCATCAGAGTTTCTTTACTCCTTTGTTCAAAGCCTTTTCCTGATAATTTTCTCTATACTTTTTAAAGCATCCAGGCATCAAATTCTTGACAAAAAGAACAAAACTGAATTTTCTTTTGAAGCTTTCAGATCTGAGATCGGATTCCGCACTAACCCTAGGTTACCCAGCTGTGAACAACCCAGGCCACTGCGTTAAGTTAAGCTTGGGTCACCATCAGGTAAAGTGCGGTAAACAAACTCGACTTACCTTGCAATCAGGAACTACATAGTGTGTCAATGATGAAGAAAGCAAAGTTCCATTGCCTAAAAAACGATATCAATTAATATGTGTGATATTTAACTATGCTATGCTGTAACTGTAAAGATAGCAGTTTCAATAGGTTGGCGTTAGCTTCCACTGCATCACCTGGCTGTATGTATACGTTAACTAAAAGTTCTTTACGCTTACCTTGTTCGCAAACGGCACAAACTTCACTATGGCAAGGAACATCTTTCCGCAGATAGTGCTCACGAACAACATCGAGAAGTCGGCCTGTTTTTGTTTTAAGCCGTAGTAGCTTATTGGTTTTTATCATATTTCAGTGTCTTTGAATATGAAACGAAACAACGGCCATTTTTAAAGTAAAACACTAAGTTGAACACAGCGCCATTTTGTTGATTACATATCCCTACAGCACCTGCGAGTAACTAATAATAGTGCCCAGTGATCTTGATACCTCGGTCGAAAACAAATGCCCAAATGTGCATACTGATAAATTAACTTGACTCCTTTTTTCCCCTCGCTTTGCACTAGCTTTCCTCGCTAGCGATCACGCTATTCCTCGTGGGTGACCGCTGTTTTTTTTTTTTTGTTTTTTTTTATTTTGATTCTCCTTTTGCTTTTACTGATGCTTTTACTTTTGGTTTGTTTCAGTTTTTGATTTGTTTTATTGTGCTTTGTTTGTTTGTTGTTTATTGAGGGAGGGGGGAGTGCAGTAGTTACCACTGCAAGGCCCTAGTTTTTCTTTGACATTTCTCTGAAATTATGCAAAAATAACAAAAATTATTATCGTTATTACAAATTTGCTCGCGCTTAAATGACGGTGAATGAAATTCAATCTGATTGGTTTGTCAAATCGCGCGCGCCTGACTCTCCTTTGTTATGTCATAATCTGAAAAAGTCCATTCGCACAAAATTACTTTCCGAAGAGGTTTGCAATTTTGAACTCGTAAACTTTGTTGAGAAATCATCCAGCAAAAGCACAAAATGGGTTCTGCTTTAAGTTCATACAAATCCAAGAGAAGAGATAAGAAAGAGTACAAAAGGTGAGTGAACATTAAAGGGATTCGATAAACTGTTCCACTTGAAATGAAATATGATTCAAATGCTCTTGTGAATCGCTGGCTTTATTCACGGCGAAATTGCTCGCATCTTCTCTTATGTTAAAATGAGTTTATCACTTTCGTCGAATAGGAAGCTGAGAGAGCAACTGAGAGAATCGCAAGAATATATAACTCGTCTCCAGGAACAGCTCCAGTGTGAAAATGAGTAAGTTCATGCGAGTACTGCATGCTAGGGTGGCTGATTATTTCTTTATTTAACTTCTTTTTCTCGACCTTCCCCTTTTTTCCATTCGATGTTTCTTTCGCGTAGTCATAATTGTAAGAAGCAAGTGAAGGGATCATAAGCACAAATTGTGTGGATTTTTCTGACCAGGTGGGCTTCATCTGGAGATTAACGGAAAAATAATTGATTATAGGAGTAGACAACCCATTATTTCCCGCTCTTGTTAGACGCAATAAAGGTGAATAATTGGTTGAATCTTGAGACTTTTTCTTAGCTGTTTTTTTTTTCCCTTCGAAGTCATATGTTATCTAAAATTAGTATCTCTTGATGCAACACATCATTATTGTCTATCACTTGTGAAGGCTAATTATCCTTGTTCGCTCTCTTTTGACATTCCTACAGATTGCTTGAAGCTTTTCAAAGGTCACGCTTCGCTCATAACGCAGAGCCTGGGACACAGAAGAATCAGGCAGATCGCGAAGCCATTGAAATGACGAAAGAAATTGAAGCTTTGGAGCGAAAGCTTTTCTTTGAGCAAATCGCTCTGAATCTTACAGAAGATAGATGTGATTTTCTGGATAACAACTACCGGTAATTAAGTAGCTGATAAATAATTATGGACAATGGCCCTATAAAAAAGTCAAATAGTATTAATTCTTTACAGAAGATTTTCTGAGTTCTCGAATAATCACTAGAGTTTATACAGACCTCGGTCAGGGCGCACCTTCTGAAGAGTTTTTTCGGGATCGGCATAGTAAAAAGGGGAGGCAGGGGGGGAGGGGTGGGGAGGGGAAGTAGGAAAGCTAATAATCTCATCAAATGATCTGAGGAAAAAAAATAATTTCAAGCTGTAACGATAATTCAATTTTCTCTTTTTACAGTCTTCTTCACGACAATGAGACAAACCTTCACTGGCAGAAGTCATCCTGTCAAACAAACCTGGAAGCTTTGAAAAAGAAACAGGAGGCTATTCAGTTCAGCCGGTTCAAAGACGAAAATCCACTGGAGCAGTGGGTCGTTTGCTCGCTTCCTAATCTTTACTTCGGAAGAGTTGAAACCCTATCGTCATGGCATTAGTGTTCTCTTTGTTGAAAAAATGAAAATGAAAACAATGTTGTGCCTTTCTTTTTAAATATTCTAAATGAAAATATTTGTACTAGGTCGTAGGTGAATCTTAATGTACCGTCATCATATGATGTGAGATGAAACATTTTTTATTGAAATACCCTGTAAAATTTAATAAACTTAAGATGATTTTTTTGTTCGAGGTGATATAGTAGCAGCTAATTGTCTGGCCCTATTGAAAGTGAATTAAAATACCTAACTTCGATCATGAAGCTAAAAGTCAAGGTCATCTACTGCAACACAATGATGATTTATAATCATTGCACGAGGCATATGGTATTTCGTCGACTGGTCTGGACTGGACTGGACTAGTAAAACGCGGACTAGTAAAACGAGGACTAGTAAAACGAGGACTAGTAAAACGTGTCCTCGTTTTACTAGTCAGCGTTTTACTAGTCCGCGTCTTACTAGTCAGCGCTTTAATAGTCCCCGTTTTACTAGTCCGCGTTTTAGTAGTCCGCGTTTTACTAGTCCGCGTTTTACTAGTCCTCGTTTTACTAGTCCTCGTTTTACTAGTCAGCGTTTTACTAGTCCGCGTTTTACTAGTCCGCGTTTTACTAGTCCGTGTTTTACTAGTCCACGTTTTGCTAGTCTGCGTTTTACTAGTCCGCGTTTTACTAGTCCGCGTTTTACTAGTCCGCGTCTTACTAGTCCGCGTTTTACTAGTCCACGTTTTACTAGTCCCCGTTTTACCAGTCCGCGCTTTACTAGCCCACGTTTTACTAGTCTAGTCCAGTCCAGTCCAGTCCATTCCTCGAAATACCATATGCCATTGCACAATTCTTCCCCATCAGTCAAGGTTCGTAGCTTAACTTCCTATAAAAACGTCAAAACGACCGAGACTCAAGTGATTCACGCCTGATAAAAACCATTATGTTATAAACTCTGTGGAAGATTTTCAAATATTCATGGTTAAAGTATTTTCTTTTTAGTAGGGCGTTTTAATTTCGGCTCTATAGCGAGATCTTAATTCAAAACAGAAGGAGGTAAATTGTTCCACATTGGCTCCTTTCTTGAGGGGATAATGTTTGTTATCGCTCAAACAATTGCCACTTGACACTTGACTCGCAGCATGTAAGCTGGTTGAACCGCCATTTTTACTACTGTAAGTTCCAACTTGTGCGCCTATCAATTTCCTAAAGACGTTGCCTCCCTTACAAATTCCTCAAACAGGTGTGCTGGGATATAGTCAATTACTAGGAGTAAACAGCGGTGATTTTTTTTAATACAGTGTTTTCACAGACCTTTCATTTCCCTGGAGAGAAGTTTCCCCATGTCAGTTTGCATCACGAACTCTGTAATGTAAAAGAAAATTTGAGATACCCAAGGGCACAAAGATTTATTGCACGCAGAAGTCACTTTTGCCAACGCAAAAACGAATTTTTAACGTTATGCGCGGTTGTTCGCGTCGGTCTTTAAACAATAGAGAGAAAAACTTGCTGCTTTTATTTTGATAACTCTATAAGTATCTGAATACATTTTCGCATCATTTTGGTGAGGTACTTGTTTATACTTGTCAGTAGTCCTGAACATCATTACGCCCTTCTTTCTGGGATCTGTCAGGGATATTGACCACGGTTATGGAAATTACAAAAGCTTTTTCTCGAAGATCTGTTGTTAGTGGTGTTGTGCTACTGAAGATGTGTAAACTTAAACAACAGCGTTAACGCCCGTCTTTCCGTGTAACAGTAAGTAGGCTCCAAACAAGTTTTGATTTATGTACAACGATAAATGTCTTTGGAAAAGACTTATTTCTGATGTGGTGTCTATTATTGACCTACAGATCTGCTGGTATAGTCAAAGTGAGTTACCATCTATCAGAACTATATAGAAAATAGAACACTGATGAACTGCAAGTGTTGGTGTTGTTTAACTGCTGACCCTATCAAAACCTGTTTCACTGCTGACCCCATCAAAACCTGTTTTACTGGTTAGACTCAAGAGACTCCTGCGATTTCATTGCCATTTGTCATGGCCTGCAGTGAAGGCGTCTTATTAGGGTGCGCTAACGTTAAGGAGCGCGCGATCGTTTATTTTACCGGCCACTTTCCGGTTGGAGTTAGAGTCGACGGTAGGGGGAGAGAGCGGGAAGGAGCGAAACATTCACCCCCTTCCTTATTTTTCACTGTCACTCATCCCCTTAGTAAAAAATTTCTTCCTCTCCCCAGCCTTCCACCTCCATTAAAATGAAATATAACGTACATAATTTGCGCTTAGAAAATACTGATCACTAGGTCGCAAAAATTACGCCTGCCCTGCAGGCGACTTTTGTCACTGTAGGTACCTGCGCTCGGGATTGAGGCAATACTGTGAAAAAATACTACCAATCCTTTTTTTTTTTTTGCGCTGAAAAAATGCGCTCAAAAACAGTCTTTTTAAGCCTCCAGCTAAAGGCGACTCCGCTCTGTTACTAAGCGTTACTATCTCTTAAAAGATAAAGTACATTTACAACTACTGATCTCCGACAGTGACTTCCTAATCTCGGCGTTAAAAAAACCGTATATGAATGGATTCAGAGCGCTGTTGCAGTATAAAAGGATTATCGAGGAGTGTCTGATAAGACCAGGAACAGCTGAGATTGAATCTATCATAAGAATCACGATAAATGGTGTCCAGGAAATCAGAAAAGTACAGGTGACAATAAGAAATGTTTTGAATATTTTGATCTCCCGTTTCAGTCGTGTTCTTTGACTACTTTTCTTAGGTGCCTCCTCTTGACTCGGCAAGTTCACTATAAACGTCGAAACAGGAGCCAGCGATGTCTGTTGCACGTGGATTCTGGTCATCTGAGCATGCGCAATTAGGAACACTTTCCCATTCACAAACACGAGAAAAAATACCGGTATTATATAAGCTATTACCAGTACAAAAACAGAGTATTCATATTGCAAACCCCAAATCGAACAGTTGACGCCGTTTTCCTTGGAAGCATGTGTGCCGTATGTGACGAATCCGGCCAATAGTAGGGCGCATAACCAGGATACTCCGATGATTTGCTTGACTCTGCACTCATTCATACGTGACAGATAAGTTAGCGGTGATGTCACAGCCAAGTATCTGTCTCCGCTGACCACGCACAAGTTGTATATGGAGGCGGTGCACAGAATAAAGTTCAGGAATAGATATAGGTCGCAAGTAAAATGGCCAAAAGTCCATCGACCTGGAGATCAAGTAAACTGAAGTAAACAGAAAAACAAAGTTTTGCTCCCTAACTATTTTATATTTAGATAAATAAATGAAACTATTTGCAGTCTAACCAGCTATTGCTTGTCTCTAACTCATCTACTTCCTCCTCCACCTCAAATTTCCGATGATGGCTCAATCATGATTAGGCTCGCAAGTGATTAGAGGTCAAGTGTCGAATCCGTTAGACAACAGCTCGTTTTCACGAATTCTACTTTTCTGAAAAAAAAAAAATTGCACCACCGATGTGAGAGGATTGTCTGACCAGTAAAATTTTCTTTGTAATTAGCAAAATGATTTCGACCGGCTCGATTTTTTACTTATAGAGACTTTGGCTGCAGTCAAACGAAAAATCGATTTATTGATTTATCATCATCATCGTTTTCTTATCTTCGCAACGGTGACCTTTCATCCTACACTAATGCTGGGCCCACAATTTTTCAGGAGGGAGAGAAACACTTTTTTGGACAGCCCAGCTTTCTTTAAAATTGAAATTTTTGTTTCGAGGAAAGGCGGAAGGACGCCGGTGGCCGATTTGCATCATCAACTAAGTTATCTTGTAATACCCCCTACCGACGCAACACCACGAACTCAATATGGCGCGCCGAAGCGGACAAAAATACTCGTGTATGGATACACAAGTCTTGCTTTGTAAAATATACGACTTGTTGCGAAAATATAAAACTTGTTTTTTAAAATATACGTCTTGTTGCGGAAATATAAACTAGTTTTGTAAAATACAAGAGTGATGCGGAAATATAAGACTTGTTTTGTAAAATATACCACTCGATGCGAAAATATAAGACTTGTTTTGTATAATATAAGACTTGTTGCAGATAAGACGTGTTCGCGGTGAAAAATAATACTTAAAGGGCGCCCACTGTCTGTGGTCAGCTGCTTTGCAGCAGGGCGCGTGCTGATTTCTATTTAACAATTGGTTCGTGCTTTAGCGTACACTATCGAGTTATGGAGCACGCGGGAAGTTTGGAGAGCACTAAAGAAGCGTAAGAGTTGCCCGAGGCGATAGCCGAGGGCAACTCTAGCTTCTTGAGAAAAGGACACTCGGCAACAGCGCCGTCACGATTCGCTTCAACTGATATTGTTGTCCGTTTTTCGCGTCGGATTTGATGCAAAATTCCACCGGCTATGTTCTAAAACAATTGGTTCATGCTTTCAGCTTTGCACTATCGAGTTATGGAGCACGTGGGAAGTTTGGAGAGCACTAAAAAGCGTAAGAGGTGCCCGAGGCGATAGCCGAGGGCAACTCTAGCTTCTTGAGTGCTCTCCAAACTTCCCACGTGCTCCATAACTCGATAGTGCACAGCTGAAAGCATGAACCAATTGTTTTAGAACATAGCCGGTGGAATTTTGCATCAAATCCGACGCGAAAAACGGACAACAATATCAGTTGAAGCGAATCGTGACGGCGCTGATGCCGAGTGTCCTTTTCCTTTGTTTTTCTCCTTTTCTGCCTCGTTTAAGAACTCTAGCCCAAGGGAAAAGGTCGAAACATTGTCTTCGTTTGCGAACTAGTAGGCCGAGTTTCTGTTTGTATCCATTATTGTCGCGAAATATATTATTTTTCTCTACGCTAACAATGGCCGCTCGCGCGAAAAAAAAAATTTCTGGCGAAGTCGGATTTGCTGACGTTATCAGCGTGCACTATCGGGATTTTGAGCACGCTTACATATAATGAATTTTATTGCGCGACTCAGCTAGCTATGTTCTAATGGTAGTTGTCTGCTTGCAATGACGAGTGCGATGATAAGTTGAACAGAGTTATTCCTCAGTTTTTCAGCTGCTTTTTTTATCTGCCACAAGCAAGTTTCGTCTAAAGTCCTCGCAAATTTATTTTCCAAGTTCTAACACTCAAAAAAAAAGCTCCTAACTCATCCGCCGTCTTTTTTTAGGCGTGAGGAGCGGTGGGCTGTGTTCCACTTACCGCTGAACACTCAAATCGCTGGCGCTGTTAAAGTATTTATATTTCTACAAAATCGTATATTTTACAAAATAAGTGTTATATTTTCGCAACAAATCGTATATTTTACCAAGCAAGTTTATATTTCCGCAACAAGTCGTATATTTTACAAAACAAGTCATATATCCATACACAAGTATTTTTGTCTGCTTCGGCGCGCCATAACCTCACCCTCTTTATCTTAAATTTGAATGGTCTATTCTTTACTAAGTAAATTATTTACCAGTACTCTGATAGGTAATGTGGTAGCTCAAACTGATCGGCAAAACCAGCAAACCCGTGAGGAAATCAGAAAACGACATGCTCGCCACAAAATACAATGACGGGATCTGCATACGCCGACAAACCCAAACCAGCCGACATACCACAAGGTTACCAACTGTGGCAAGGCATATGAGAACAACGAGGAAACTTGCAATGGCGATAGGCATTGGACCCCAATGTGATTGTAGCGCAAATTCATCCTTCACGATTGTCTTGCTGGAGTTTTTATCACTTACGTGATTCTGAAGTTGTCGCGGGTCATCCATGGTTTTATCTGTAATGAAAATTTGAACAGCAAAGAAGTGAGTTTGAGATGATAGAATCGGAAATTAAAAGGCGAACATCGAAGAAGAAAATTTTGAGACGGTCGTGAAGCGTGAACACCTGTAAGTCAATGGAAAGTCTTTACTGAGGATCATCTGCCTAATCTTGTTCTCAAAGTGCTGCGTAGGTGTCGATGAGTTATGTATTCCCTAAAACATGTTTAAATAGCTACAACAAATAAGCCCATATAAGTCCCTTCGTTTGGTCGTCACCTTGGCCGAAGCGTGAAATCGAAACAGCTCGACGCAAACATATATAATTGCAAATCAGTTTTCGAAAGTGCTAATGAAATTTTGTTTCGAATCCCTTGTTAAGAACTCACCCAGAGTCGAAAATAAAAGGAAGCTTTGGACAACGATGTCAATCGAACATGAAATGCTTCAAAATCTCTTAAATCTGTTTCGAAACGGAACCAATTATCGATATGTAATCTTCAAAAAACATTCTGTGAAGTGAACTTTTAGCGTGAAAGTCCCAAGAAGCGTTATATTTATCGTTTCGCTCGACACAAATGTTTGAATATGCACTTAGGCCAGAGGAATTTAACCTTTCGCACTCAAGAAACCTCTCCACACTCGTGAGGACTTCAATGTTGGAAAAATGCGCTAAAATAGAACATTTGGAGACAACACATCATTTTCTAAAAGCAAAATATACCAAGAGCGAAGCTAGGTCATTTTTGAATTGAAGGAAACTCAGTGTTGCGCATAGATTCTCCTACAAAGACAAGATTTAGCATTCTTTCCTGCAATAGTTTTATAAATCGAATAGTTTCTGGGAACCCTATTGGGGGATCGAAAATTCAATGAGACATTAAAAAGGAGGGAAGATCCTTGATATAAAACTCTCTTGGACCAACGCTCTAATTGGTAATTTACAGCAAAAGCTATGCCATTATTCAAGTAAATAATCAACTTCTATTCAACAACTAAAAGAGGTTTTTTTCTTTGCAAATGGACTTTATATGAGTTCTTCCTCTCTGGATACAGGATATCAAAGTCAAGTGTTGGGATGGTTATGCAACAAATATTGTTGTTATGTAATAACATACGGCACGCGGCAGGGCTTGTCAAAGGATCGATGGATTCCTGTGTACAAAGCCCCGCTCAAAATTTTACTGTTAAATCTAGCATCCTTACTATACAATAACTACTTACTCTGTAGGGAAATTTACACTATTCCTAATAAATTGAAAACAGCGTTGTCTTTTCGAAAAAGGTTCCTGTTCACAGTGAAAAACGAATTAATTGCCTTTGTTCGCACGACGCTGATAAATTTAAAATCACAACAATATTACCACTGTCACCTACATAATTTGAGAAGTAATATCAGGGCCGTTTCCTATGGCTCCTTTTTTGAACTGGAGGGTTGTGTACGGTGTGTTCTATAGCGTACGGAGCATTCGTTTTCTCACCGTGACCCACCTCTTGCCTTTTTCCAGCCCGCTTTTGTTTCCTTCAACGAATGCCAGTCTTAGTCTTATATCCTTATATCCGTCTCACCCTTACTGAGCTCAAAAGCATTACTTGGATCAGACAAGTTTGTAATGAAATAGCAGATAAATCAATTATTGATCGCGAAGATTTGGTTTAGAATTGTGTGCGTCTTCATTTTGTTACATTTCGAATTGTTTGATTGTTGATCAGTCGACGAGTTCAGATAAGTCAAACCGCTCTTCACTTTTCAGCCTATTCTTTATTTAAGGGAAGAGGGCTCAAATGTATAGATATTGAGTTTCTACAGCTCAAATCTCCTGTGATGAGAATGGCGCACTCAACAAGCTCTATTAAATGGCGTGTTGCAGAATTTTCGAGCAGAATCTTCTAACACGCCGGATTCTAAATTTCCTTTTCCCCTTCTGTTTAAACCACATCTTTTTACCTTTATTAGACATTTTCATCGCTCCTCAGGTGCTTACCTAAACAAATCATATCTTCAAATTCACAAGTCGAAAGAGTCATGATATAACATGGTTACGATAAAAATCTTTCGCAGATCATGTAAGCAACTCTTCACACTCAGAGCAAGTACAATCATACTGAAAGCGTGATATAAGTAGCGCATACATCACAGAGGCGTCATGGCGTTCTTTTAATGTCAAAGGCAATGTCGTAAATGTACCTTCTAGGGCTCTCTCTTTTATTGCTTGTTATGCCAAAAAAATTTCCCCTTACTATCAGACTAGAGTGGTGTTATTAATTAATTTCTTAACTTTAATTCCTTCCTGACATAGCTGAGCTTCGTTTCACTGCGCATTTCACCATGGGAAATGTACGGTGGACACGAAGCAAAGGTGTTTACGAGCCTCTAATTAGAAAAATTTTCATACCTCCCTGAAAGCTAGCACCTTTGGTGGTAATAGTAATGCCTTTTCATTAGGACCACGAGGGCACAATCGATCATAATATTTCCTCTTCATGCGCACGGCTGCAACAAAGCCTACGCAGTCGATGTTGTGTGAAAATCATGATTAATTATTAAAATTAAAATCCCTGACAAAAAAGGCCTTTTCGTCTTTGATTTAGTAGGGTTTTTAAAACAACAAAAGTGCTGTTCTTGGATAAAAAACAGCCATCAACTGGAGATAGAATCAAATTCACATTCGCACATGCACAGAAACATGAAATTAGTTTGTCTAAAACTAGATAGAACATTGTTTTTTTTCTTAACAACCCCATTATCTCTATGCTTTAAGGTGCGGAAGAGATTTTAAAAATCTAAGGGAAATTATTCACTCTATCTCATTAAGCCAGTAGAGATTTTAAACCAAAACTAAGAAAACAGATTTAATTCAATGAAGGTGCTAAAAAGGAAATGAATTTTAGTGTTCAAAAGCCCGGCGAAGAACGAGAGAAATTATTCACATTTGAAAGTATAAAAAAGTCAACTGGATATTTGAAGTTCAAAAGTACAAACGCTTGTTTCAATGAGCATATTTATTTCATTTTGTTTGACAGTCGTCTCAATATTTTTAATCAACAACACCTTGCTGCATTTTGTCGCGGTGAACAAAGCCGCGTAGAAATTCTGATCGGAAAGTTCACCAGCAGTAAATAAAATCACCGTTTACAGTAGAGTGTTTAACAATATATATACCTGGATGCCGCAGAAACAAGCAAAGAGCAACGTTAGTATACACGTTTTGCAATTCATGGACCGATAAAGCGGCAGATTATCTAGTTTCTAACTTTTTTCTTTCCCCCGCTAAAGAATCTACAAATTCGCATGTTAAGATCTCCTTGCCTTCGTCATGTTCAATCGATGGAGTATTTGAACGTGACAAGTAAATATATGGTGTGGATCACTTTCAACACAACTAATAAAGGACAAATTCAAAGCCTGTAAATTATGAATGATATTTTGCACAAAAGGAGATCTGGTCGGGGATTCTTACTATGCTGAACTAGAGATTACTGCCAGTCTACAATTGAATTACGGACTTTTTCCCTTTACGAGCTAGATTTCAAGTATCGCAAGTTAATTTTGGAGCATGATTAGGAGAAAATATGACATCGGCTTGAATCAAGTTACACCTAAATAATTTTTCATCCCTTTTGGCTTTCTAAACTGATTTTGATATCTCGAGAAGATATATATTGGATTATCGGTCAGCTTGGAGACGTAATGAGGAAATGAGTAGGTTTTTTTTCCCTTTTAATTTTAATCTCGATAGAAAAACAAAACAATCGAACTCGTTTGCCTAAATGCATTAGAGAAAATCGTAAGTTCTTTAAAGTGGACTGAAAACAAGATAAAAGAACTAAATGTTTTCAAGAACAGGTGCAAACAGAATAGAACACTTAATAACAGAAATTACTTTGAAAACAACGTAGATTTTTTTTTTCATTTTAGTGCAGAGCAATAAACCCAAAGCAATTTTAAAATTCAAAAGAATCTTAATGGACTTGTTGAAAGGGTTCTCGACTTTGTACCGAGTGTGGTCATAAAAATAACCTCTAACGAGCATGAATTGCATACATCCTCTTCGCCTGTCGAATCAAATCAAATATCCTTTCCACCAAAAACTATTTTGTCTCTCGAAAATGACCGGAAAAGAGGAAAAATCCAACTGGTCTGAATTACACTTAAGTGTAACGATCTTTGATTACGCCAAGATATCTATATGGGTTGCAAATTATGTTCCAAAGAACCATGTATGCGCGCAAGAACTTACAAAATGAAAACATGAATAGAAACAGCGTGTGGAATATTCTTGACCGATGTAATTCATATTTTAGTAGCTAGATATTCTCACGGTTTCTCTTCTAAATTTCGCTCTCTTTCCCGGCTTATAAATACCACAGCCTGACACTGAAATACTTCCTCAAAACGTTCCGAGTCCACTTCAACGAGACATTAAAAAAAGTTCTAGGAATGTCTTTTTTTGGTGTCTAAACAAAATGGGGTTAAGATCGGCCAGACCGCTATTTGTGTACTCAGCATGGGTATCCTTCAAGCTAGTGACATCCAAATTGATTTTACCTTCTAGAGGATAATAGTAAAATTTACCACTGAGTTGAAACAATTTATTTTCAACGTGGGATGAATTTAATACTCAAAGACGGTACAAGGCTTGGCCGCATATCTTGGATCTTCTGCCCAGTGAGGACATGCTTTTAACCGTATTACAACTACTTCGTACCGTATAGAAAAACGGGCAGTCGAGTTCAATAAAATTTGTCACTTGAACAATGATCAATCCCAAAGAGTTGAATTGAACAAATGGCGTATTCTCTGAAAAACTTACCGGTACTGATTCGAATGTTTGCGACTCCACAGTAAACAATTCAAATATATCTTGACTCCGTGTACGGTTAGAAAATTGACAAATGTTTTCCAAAGTGTGCTGAGTCAGATAATATAATAGGTTTTTTTTAGCCTAAAAACCTCGTGATACGCCATTTACGGAATGAACCGGAAATGAATGATTACCACCAAAAATACAACAATGTGGCTTTTAAATTAATTGTGATAAATTACTTCAACACCGTCACTGACTGTCGACGACTTTGCATCTAAAACAAAAGACTATCGGCTCCAATACAAGGCAAGAGTCAAAGGCCATGGAAAATGTAAAAAATTAAAGTTTGGGCTTAAGTCTGAGTCGAAAAGCTTCTCTAGTATGTATGAAAATAGTAAAACAGAGACAAACGCGAGATAAACCAAAACGAAATGTGATTACTAGAAAGTTCACCCACCGTGTGTATTGTAAAATATCATATCGTACTCAAGACAAGCAAACAAAACAAAAATGTATATTCATATACGAGAATTCAAAATCATTGCTTTTCAATATCTTCTCTTTATGCACATTTCGCGCGAAAGGTTTTTTCTC